TATACAGCTGCCTAGATGAGCCTGATGGCCTTTCTGGCTTTGCATGTTTACGTAAATCTATGGGATTACAATTACAGGACCAGCTCTTAATAAACAAAAAAGCGGGAAACTGGGCAGAGGCTTTAACTTCTTGTGAACAAGCTTTGCAAATGGAACCAACATCAGTTCAAAGGCATTCTGATGTCCTTAACTGTTTGTTAAACATGTGTCACCTTCAGGCAATGGTTACTCATGTGGATGGCTTAATCTCTAGGGTTCCCCAGTACAGGAAAACATGGTGCATGCAAGGTGTGCAGGCAGCATGGAGGCTAGGCAGGTGGGATTTGATGGATGAATATCTTAGTGGAGCTGATGAAGAAGGTCTACTTTGTAGCAGTTCTGAAAGTAATGCCTCATTTGATATGGATGTTGCAAAGATTCTACAGGCAATGATGAAGAAGGATCAGTTCTCAGTTGCTGAAAAAATTGCCCTCTCAAAGCAAGCTCATTGCTCCTCTCGCTGCTGCAGGCATGGATTCCTATGTACGGGCCTACCCATTTGTTGTAAAACTTCACCTTCTACGGGAGCTTGAGGACTTTCACTCTCTTCTTGTTGATGATTCTTTCTTGGAGAAATCATTTCAACTGGGTGATCATGGGTTCTCCCAGTTGATGGAGAACTGGGAAAACCGTCTCAGGTTTACACAGCCGTCACTCTGGGCAAGAGAGCCACTTTTGGCCTTCCGCAGACTAGTTTTTGCTGCCAGTGCTTTGGGTGCTCAAGTTGGGAACTGCTGGCTTCAATATGCAAAACTCTGTCGCATGGCTGGTCATTATGAGACAGCAAACCAGGCGATTCTAGAAGCTCAAGCTACAGGTGGACCTAATGTTCACATGGAGAAGGCTAAACTTCTATGGAGCACCCGGCGATCTGATGGTGCCATTGCACAGTTGCAGCAGTCTCTCCTGAACATGCCTGTAGAGATTGTTGGTTCCTCTGCAATTTCATCAATTACTAGTCTTTCACTGGTTCCACTGAACCAGCCGCTGTTAGTTTGTGATACTCAAGCTTTGAATGAGAATCGAGATATCGCAAAGACCCTACTCCTCTATACTAGGTGGATCCAACACACTAGACAAAAGCAGAAAGAAGATGTATTATGTCTTTATACGAGGGTGAGGGAACTGCAGCCCAAGTGGGAGAAAGGATATTTCTACATTGCTAAGTATTGTGAGGAGTTGCTTGCTGATGCCAGGAAACGCCAGGAAGAAAACATAGAACTTAGTGCAAGGAAAATGCCATCAAATAGTGCTATTGTTGGTTCTCCAAATTTAAGCACTGAGAAGCCTTGGTGGTCGTATGTACCTGATGTACTGTTATTTTATGCAAGGGGGCTTCTTAAGGGTCACAAAAATCTCTTTCAAGCACTTCCAAGATTGTTAACCCTATGGTTTGACTTTGGAAGTATGTATCTAACATGTGGCACAGCTTCCAGTAAAGAGTTGAAAAAAACTCATGAGAAGGTAGCTATTGTATGTCGAAGATGAACTTAAATTTGTTTAGTTACATATAAACTTTGATCTCTCCATTTTAAGTTCCTTTCTTATTTTGTTTAGGTAATAAAAATCATGCAAGGATGTTTGAAGGATTTGCCAACGTACCAGTGGTTAACAGTACTACCACAATTGGTTTCCAGAATTTGCCACCAGAATGAGGAAGTTGTTCGATTGGTCAAAAACATAATAACAACTGTTCTCCGGCAATACCCACAACAAGCGCTCTGGATTATGGCGGCAGTTTCAAAATCAACTGTTCCTTCAAGGCGGGAGGCAGCTGCAGAAATCCTACAGGCTGCACGAAAAGGGTTTAGCCAAGGAAATACTGGTAGCAATCTATTTGTTCAGTTTGCAAGTCTGATTGATCACTTAATTAAGTTGTGCTTCCATCCTGGTCAGTCAAAGGCAAAAGCGATTAATATCTCAACTGAATTTAGTGCCTTAAAGAGGATGATGCCCCTGGGAATTATCATGCCAATTCAGCAGTCTCTAACTGTTAGCCTACCAACGTATGACGGGAAGCTCAGTGACTCACTTAGATCTGATATTTTTTCGGCGACTGATCTTCCTACAATATCAGGAATTGGTGATGAGGCTGAGATTCTTTCATCTCTTCAACGGCCTAAAAAAGTAGGTTCTATATCTTATCATACTTGTAATTCAAGTGATTAATCTGTGGTATGCCATAGCAGGGAATATATTGAGAAGGCATCATATTACCAAATTTCTTATGCATGCTGGTTTGCCCTCCTAAATGCTGTTAAATATATGAACTAGCAGAATAAACCCTCCCACCCCCTTTTTTCTAACTTAATAAAAAGCTAAAATCACCAATCACCATCTGGAAATCAATTCTAAATTTACGTGCTGAGTCCAAATACTGACCGGATAGATTTCTAAAATAACTTGTGGTAAAGCGCAAAAACTGTGGATTTGGAGAAGATTTCTGGGGAGTTTTCTTTTTCCTATTGTCTCTTGGGCATGTCCTGTGAACTGTCTATTATTTATGTCATTAGACTCATTACACATCATCTTTGTAATATTTAATCATTCTCTTTGGCATTTCAGATTGTTTTATTAGGCAGTGATGGCATTGAACGCCCATTCCTTTGCAAACCCAAGGATGACCTTAGGAAAGATGCCCGCATGATGGAGTTCACTGCAATGATAAACCGTTTGCTGTCTAAATACCCAGAAAGCCGTCTGAGGAAACTCTACATTCGCACCTTTGCGGTAATTCCTTTGACAGAGGACTGTGGTATGATAGAATGGGTGCCTCACACTCGTGGACTTCGGCATATACTTCAAGACATATATATAAACTGTGGAAAATTTGATAGGCAAAAGACAAATCCTCATATCAAACGGATTTATGATCAATGCCAAGGTAAAATACTAGAAGATGTGATGCTGAAGGACAAAATTCTTCCAATGTTCCCCCCAGTATTCCATAAATGGTTCTTGACCACTTTTTCTGAGCCAGCTGCTTGGTTTAGGGCTCGGATTGCTTATGCACATACCACTGCAGTTTGGTCCATGGTTGGCCATATTGTAGGGCTGGGTGATAGACACGGTGAAAACATTCTTTTTGATTCTACAACAGGAGACTGTGTTCATGTTGATTTCAGTTGCTTATTTGACAAAGGCTTGCAGTTGGAGAAGCCTGAGCTGGTGCCTTTCAGGTTGACTCAGGTGAGAGAAGCGTATGCATAAATGTTGTTTCCCGTGGCAAGTTTTCTAATACTGTCTTTTTTTTCTTGGAGCAAAAAAGTAAACTTAACTATATTTTATTGGGCTGTTTATACATTGGTTGATGAGTACCTCTCCTTCTGCAAAAAGAAAATAAAAAGATATCATCTGTATACGAAAATAAAAAATAAAGTCATTGTGTGCTGGTTATCAAAATTATATAACATGACTAGAGTATTTTAGTCTGAGCACAATTAATACTTCATCTACTAACGATTGTTATATAATCATATCCAGTCTTAGTTGTTTCTTATTACTGGTATTTAATTTCATGGGGACTGTTATGACACCTGCAGAATATGATTGATGGCTTGGGCATCACTGGTTATGAGGGAATCTTTTTGAGGGTCTGTGAAATCACACTTTCAGTACTGAGGATGCATAGGGAGACTTTAATGAGCGTTCTTGAAACTTTCATCCATGATCCTCTTGTGGAATGGACAAAATCACACAAGTCCAGTGGAGTAGAAGTTCAGAATCCACATGCACAGGTTTCAATCTTTCGTTATCTCCTATTGATGTTGTTGTGACAGGTTGACCTTAACAATCGTATTTTCTTTTTAAATGTAAAGGTAATAATGGCATTGATATATCATTTCATAATTGATCTGAGTTGGGATTTTCGCAAGGCCTACCATGTCGAACTGTTGCAAGTTGACTAAAACGCATTTCTTAGAGTAAATTGTCCCTAGAAGACAGAATAACCCTGTATTATTATTGCATTGACATTATAGGTCCACTGTAGTGTTTCTTGGTCTTTCATAAGCAATATCCGCCTGATAGAATAGGAGCAAGGATTTTCTTTATGCAATGACCATTGGCATTGAATTATAATCTGAAATTTTTATAAATTTTATGCATCTTTTTAAAATAATATCCAACTGATGAATGTGGAAGTATATTAACGGGTTGGGATGGAGTAAGAAATTTTTTATGGTAGTGATGCTGTTCCGTTGCACATTTTAACTGAATTGATAAGTTTTGATGTCCCTTTCCTTAAAGTTACCTGCATATGGATTTAAGATCAGAAGTTGCATTTGTGATCCATGGTTTGTAAAGCAATCACTAAATTGTGTTATATATCAACATTTCAGCGAGCAATCAGTAACATTGAGGCAAGGTTGCAAGGAGTAGTTGTTGGTGTCGGAGCGGCACCATCTTTGCCACTGGCCGTAGAAGGTCAGGCTCGTCGATTAATAGCTGAAGCAGTCGCCCACAAAAATCTTGGAAAGATGTATATCTGGTGGATGCCTTGGTTTTGAAGTGTAATTGATCAAGGGTTCTCCTGTTTTATAATGAAGCGTTTGTGCTTCATCAGATATTTTCTGAAGCAGCCTTATGAAAAATCTTAGAAATATGCGGTTGGCTTTTGAAGGGTTCGTTACTAAAGATTCCTGCAGTGTATTTTTTGTTCAGGTATGCTCGTATTTCTCTGTTGTTAAGGTCTTTTTTCAATGCTATAATGTCTTTGATATTGACAATGGAATGCGGAAGACATTGTTAATCTTGTAGATGATAAGAACTATGACAGAGAAATAAGAGAGAGCTATGACAGAGAAAGAAGAGAGAGAAGTAAAACTGTATTAACTGTATTTCTTGATCATTAAGCAACACTGTTCATGAGTATTTATATAACAAACACATCAGACTAAGAACTAACAACTATTCTTAATCCTTTGACACTTGTCATCATCTAACCTATTGACTTAATATCTCTAACATCCTCCCGCAATCTCATGCTTAGATAAACTGAGCATGAGATTGTTACAATGGATACGAAACAGAGTGGAACTTAAACCCTCTGTCAGAATGTCTGCAAACTGCTCCTGAGATGAAACAAACTGCACAGAAAGCTGATGCTTGGCAACCCGTTCTCTGACAAAGTGAACATCGATCTCAATATGTTTGGTACGCTGATGCTGATGCTGAATAGGATTGAATGACACAACGCTATAGCAGAAAGATTATCACAAAATAAAGTAGGAGGAGACACCAATGGAATATGCAGAAAAACCAGAAGCTGTTTAATCCAATCGAGCTCAGCAGCAGTGGAGGACAGAGCTCGATACTCAGCTTCAGTAGAAGATCTAGAAACGGTCTGTTGTTTCTTGGAAGACCAAGAAATAGGATTATTACCTAAAAAGACCACCAAACCAGTGGTGGATCGGCGGTCATTAGGGTCACCAGCCCAATCCGCATCACTAAAAGCTTTCAAGCTGAGATCACCATGAGTATAAGTAATGCCAAATTGCATGGTACCCTTCAAATACCGCAGGATTCGCTTGACAGCAGTGAAATGAGCATTCATTGGTGTCTGCATAAACTGACACACTTGATGAACCGAGAAGGCTATGTTAGGCCGAGTGAAAGTAAGGTACTGTAAAGCACCAACAACACTTCTATATAACATGGGATTATTATAAGGGTCACCATCATCCTTGAGCAACCGAGTGTAAGGAAGACAGGGAGTATCACAAGCCTTAGAATCAAGCATCTCAGTTTTGGTCAATAAGTCTTGAACATACTTCTGTTGAGAAAGAAATAAACCATTGGCAGTTTTGGTAATCTGAATTCCAAGAAAATAATGCAGAGGACCTAAGTCCTTGATATCAAATTCAGTAGTTAAGGCTGAAATCACTTGTGAGATGCCAAGAGAAGTACTGCCAGTTAAAGGATGATACATTCCTGATCTCTTGGGATTGTTTCCTGTTTCATCATGATTTCCAGATTTCCCTGTTTTATTAAAACATTCCCTTTATGTATTCTTTGTAGATTAATTATACTTGTAAATCAAGTCATTGTACACTATTTAAATCAATGATAATGCACCCTCTAAAGTATCGAGGGATTGAGCCAAAATACCTTCTTTTACTTTTGCTGTCTTGTCTGCAATTCCTCCTTTGAGTTATCTTTTATGGTATCCAGAGCCTGTGACTAACGTCTTTTTTTTTTTTTCGGATTCATACTACTCTTCTCCATGGCTGCCTCAACCAGTTCGACTACTCCTTCCTCCGACATCTTCCCTTCTGTTTCTCATGCGATCTCCATCAAACTTGACTCTTCCAATTATCCTCTTTGGTTGGCTCAGTTGCTACCTGTTCTTCGCAGTCGTCAATTGTTGGCTTTTGTTGATGGTACTTCCATCTGCCCCTCGGCGTTCTTGTCCGACGCTACCGGCAACGCCTCTCCCAAGCCCAACCCCGCGTATGCTGACTGGGTTCAGAAGGACCAGCTTGTTCTTTCTTGGATCAATGGCTCTCTTGGTCACCAGGCCCTCGCCGCCACTGCTCGTCATTCCACTGCCCGTGATGTTTGGGTTGCTCTTCAGCAGCGTTTTGCTTCTACCAACCAAAGTCGCATTCTTCAGCTTCGTACTGCTTTCTTCCAGACCAAACGAGGTGATTCTTCAATTTCTGACTTTCTTGATAAGATCAATGGTATTGCAGATCAATTGGCTCTTGCCGGGGCACCTGTTTCTCCTGATGACATGGTGCCGGTCGTCATGTCTAATGTCGGCCCCAAATTTGAGAACACTGTTGCTGCTGCTCAGGCCCGTGACAAGCCCATCTCCCTTCCTGATCTTGAGGCTCTTCTTCTCGCTGCTGAACTTCGCCTTGCTGATCCTCCTGCTCCGCCGGACTCCAGCGTCTCGGCCCTGGTAGCCTCCCGCGGCTCTTCTGCCTCTCGTGGCCGCTTCTCTTCTGATCGCGGCGGCGATCGTGGCTCTGGCCGTTTCTCACGTGGGGGTGGTCGTCCTCAACATGATGGGTCTCGCAACAATGGTGGTGACGGCTATCGTGGCTATCGCGGTGCTGGTGGTTTCCATGACCGTCCGTTTCGCGATCGTGGTGGTAGTCGTCCTCAGCACGACGGCTCTCGCTTCCGTGGCTCCAACAATACTTCTGGGGTTCTTGGTCCAGCCCCATCTCACGGTTCCTCCCGTCCTCGCTGCCAGATTTGCAATACTTTTGGACATGGTGCTCTTGACTGTGCTCAACGCCTTAATTTGGCTTATGAAGGTCGTCCTCCTTCTTCACGTCTCACTGCCTTGACTGCTCAGCACTCCCAGCCTTGGCTTCTTGATTCCGGGGCCAACTCGCATATCACCAATGATCTCAATACTTTGTCTCAGTCCCGCGATTATCGTGGTGGTGATTCTGTCGGTGGTGTCGTTGGAGGTACAGGTTTGCCCATTAACCGTATTGGCTCCTCCACTCTCTCTCTCATAATAATATTTCTTTCAAGCTTAATGATGTTCTTCATTGTCCGGATGCTTCTACTTCTGTGTTGTCTGCTAATCGGTTTATGTTGGATAACAATTGTTATATTACATTGTTTCCTTCTTGTTTCTATATTCAGGATATGGAGACGGGGACGATTCTTTTTTCGGGCAAGAGTAGCAATGGCTTTTATCCCTTTTCCTCTTCATCATCACCGACTGCTCATGGTCGTGCTGCTTTTCTTGGTGTTCGTGTTAGTAGTGATGTCTGGCACTCTCGTTTAGGCCATCCATCTTCTTCCATTTTAAAATTTCTTTTTTCTAGGCATTCGAATAAGTTGCCTGTTTCTAGCAACCTCAATCTCAATACTTTTATGTGTCATTCTTGTCCCTTAGGCAAAAGTGTTAAGTTACCTTTTTCTGCATCCTTGTCTGTTACTCACGCTCCTCTTGAGCTTATTCACTCCGACGTGTGGAGTGCGTCCAATAAGTCTGTTAGTGGTTTCCAATATTATGTTCTTTTTGTTGATAATTTCTCTCGTTATTCTTGGATTTATCCCATGAAATTAAAATCTGAAGTTTTTCATATTTTTACTCACTTTAAGACCTTGGTTGAAAATCAATTCTCCACTAAAATTAAGATGTTTCAGTCTGATGGTGGGGGCGAATACACTAGTCATCAATTCAAGCATTTTTTTCTTCACCATGGTATTCATCATCGTCTCTCATGCCCTCACCATCCCGAACAAAATGGTTTGGCGGAACGCAAGCACCGTCACATTGTCGACACTGGACTTACTTTAATGGCCCATGCGTCGATGCCTCCTGCCTACTGGGCTGAGGCCATGCACACAACAGTTTATCTTCTCAATCGCCTCCCCTCTAAAGTACTTGGTTTTATGTCTCCTTATCAAAAGTTGTTTCTTAAAGAACCTGATTATAGTTTTTTAAAGACCTTTGGGTGTGCATGTTTTCCCTACCTACGACCCTATAATAATAATAAACTCCAATTTCGTTCTACTAAATGTGTTTTTCTTGGTTACTCTCTCAATCATCAAGGTTATCGGTGCTTAGACATCTCTACTAATCGCATCTTTTTATCACGCCATGTTGTGTTTGATGAAGGTAATTTTCCTTTCAAGGCCATCTCTGGCTCTCTTGCCCCGTCCTCTCCGGCCTCGTCTCCTCCTCCTGTTTTAGAAATCACTGGGCCTCTTCCGCGTGCCCCCCGACTGTCTAGCAGCCAACCGGTGGTTGTGTCCCCCTCTTTGGAGACTCATCAATCCCGTCCATCATCCGACCCACCACAGCCGGCCCTCCAGGTTTACTCCCGTGACCCTCACAGGCGGGTTCTTTCTTTTGCACAAGCAGCCACCCCCTCTGCCGTTCACTCTAATGCGCCTCCAGAGGCTCCCTCTGCTGCTGTACCACCTGCCGTGCCCTCTCCTTCCCGTGGTATGCTCACCAGGTCCAAAACGGCTTCTCTTAAGCCTCCTAAATATGTTTTTTCTGCTGCCATTTCTTCTACCGGTCCTATTGAGCCTACTTGCTTTAGTCAGGCCAACACTTTTCCCGAATGGCGTACTGCGATGGCCGATGAATTTAATGCACTTCAACGTGCTGGTACTTGGACTCTTGTTCCTCGTACTGCTTCTATGAATATTTTGCCAAACAAATGGGTGTTTCGTATTAAACAGAATTCTGATGGGTCTATTCAGCGGTATAAGGCTCGTTTGGTAGCCAATGGTTTTCATCAGCAACCCGGCCTTGATTATGGTGAAACTTTTAGTCCTGTTGTCAATCACTCTACTATTCGCTTAATTTTGGCTCTTTCAGTTCAGTTTCAATGGCCTGTTCGTCAGTTGGATGTTCAGAATGCTTTTCTTCATGGCTCTTTGTCTGAGGAGGTCTATATGCACCAACCTCGTGGCTTTGTTGTTGATCCACAGTTCCCTCATCATGTGTGCCGCCTTCGTCGTTCTTTATATGGGCTCAAGCAGGCGCCCCGTGCATGGTTCCAATGTTTTTCCACTCATTTGGAAGATTTGGGTTTTCGTCCCTCTACCGCGGATCACTCGCTTTTTACCTATATTCATGGCTCAACTCGTATTTATCTCTTAATTTATGTTGATGATATTTTTGGTCACCGGGAATAATCCCTCTCATATTGTCACCCTCATTAAGAATTTGGGCATCCGTTTTCTCTATGAAGGACCTTGGACCGGTTCATTATTTCTTAGGCATGGAGGTGGTCCGCACTCCATCAGGTCTCTCTCTTTCCCAACAGAAGTATGCCACTGACCTCCTTCACCGCACCAAAATGCATGGTGCCAAGCCGGTTCCTACTCCTGCCGTTAGTGGGCGACGGCTCAGTCTTCAGGATGGTGACCCTCTGCCGGATCCTACTGAATACCGAAGTGTTGTCGGCGCCCTTCAATACTTGACTCTCACTCGCCCCGACATCAACTTCGCCGTCAACCAAGTCTGCCAATTTCTTCACCAGCCGACTTCTACTCATTGGGCCGCCGTCAAACGCATTCTTCGTTACCTTGTCGGCACTACTTCTCACGGTCTTATCTACAAGCCTGGTTCATTTCGTCTTACGGCATTTTCCGATGCCGATTATGCCGGGGATCCTGATGATCGGCGTTCCACCGGGGGCTATTGCTTGTATCTGGGTTCCAATCTTGTCTCATGGAGTGCCAAGAAACAAAATGGGGTCTCTCGGTCCAGCACTGAAGCCGAGTATCGTCAACTTGCAATCACCGCTGCCACTCTTTCATGGTTTCGTATGCTGTTCCGTGACCTCCAGTTTCCTCTCCATTGTCCTACACTGTTCTGTGACAATATCAGTGCTATATCCCTTGCTTCCAACCCGGTGTTTCATGCCCGCACTCGGCATGTTGAGGTAGATTACCATTATGTTCGTGAAAAGGTTGTTCGCAAGGAGCTTGATGTTCGTTATCTTTCTACTCATGATCAGCTTGCTGACATCTTCACCAAGGGCCTTTCTCTTCCTCGTTTTCGACTTCTGGTTTCCAAGCTTCCTGTACTTGATTGTACTGTCAGCTTGCGGGGGCGTAAAGGATGATACATTCCTGATCTCTTGGGATTGTTTCCTGTTTCATCATGATTTCCAGATTTCCCTGTTTTATTAAAACATTCCCTTTATGTATTCTTTGTAGATTAATTATACTTGTAAATCAAGTCATTGTACACTATTTAAATCAATGATAATGCACCCTCTAAAGTATCGAGGGATTGAGCCAAAATACCTTCTTTTACTTTTGCTGTCTTGTCTGCAATTCCTCCTTTGAGTTATCTTTTACCAGTTACTATTATGTCATCGACATAAAGTAAAAGAACTACAATATCAGAACCAAGAACTTGCACAAAGAGAGATGAATCGGAATATGTATTCTGAAACCCCAATTTGGGAAGAAAGGCAGTGAACTTCTCATTCC